GGTGATGACCTCCATGATGCAATGTTCCAAATATAGCCTGGGCATTTTGTGCCAGGAGACAAAGGACATGTGGGTATATGTCTCTGGAGAATCAATCCCTCTTCTCACACCAACCATGGCTGTTACTCCCTGATGACCACATCCTTGCACTGATCTCTAGAGAAAGTCCCACCATCAAACACTGTACATGGGTTAAATTTCCACTGTCTTCATTCTCGAAGAGTGGATCAAATTTCAACGTGAGATACCTTGGAAAGATTCAAAAGATTTCAAAAACCCAGCAGACAGTACAGTTATGATAGTGAAATGCTCTGTCTACCCAACTTCAAGGCATATTCTTTACCTATACCCACTTCTAGTCCAGAGGGTTCCCCCAAAGTCCCTGCTTTGTGTGTGATAGCTTTGTGGCATCCAGATGTACACCTGATTCCTGAGGAAGTCACTAATAGCACCCTCTTTGATTCTCAAAAGACTCTTGTCTGGGCTTTGAATTATCTCCTAATTTCAAGAGTCCGGTGCTCCATTTGTGTTTAATCCTATTGTTAGCTCAAATCTTACTACAGAGAACTTGAGGTTCAGGAAGTTTAAAGACCCCCACCCCTACACACACACACACACACACACACACACACACACACACACACACACACACCTGCCACTACCAAATCATAGAGTCATAAAATGGAAATAGTAGGAATTGACATCAAGCCTGTCTGAGCCTGGCGTCTGAACTACAGGCGTCTGTATTTCCACACTCCTACATGTCCTCCCTTGGAAAGAACATGAAATATTGTGACCAAGATGAAACTAAAGCAGCACTCTGTGAAGACAGCATTCAGAAACCACAGTGTGCTCAGCATACTGCAGGAAGTCATGTCCTAGTTTATTTCAGTTGGATCTCAAAGACTAGTTTTAGAGAGAGAGGGAGGGGAGGAGGAGGTGAGAGGAAGGGAAGGGAGGGAAGGAGAGGAAGAAGGAGGAAAAGGAGAAAAAGAAGAGGAGGAGGGAGGAAAAAAGACAAGGAGAAGAGGAGGAGGAGAACTTGTTGGTAAGAAAGAAAGCATACATGAGAAAGAAAAGATTGTGTTCTGATAAGCAGCTTCACACTCAGGAAATGAAAATAAAAGGTCTTAGTTTGGAGAATAAGCAGAAAGTAACCACTGTGGGTTGGACTGACTATTTAGACCAGATTCATCTTTCCTAAAATAGGGGTCTGCCGAAGGCCAGGGAGAATAGAAGCTGTTCTGAATGTCTTTTCTGGGAGCTGGGCTGGGCCTGGAAATCACAGGGAATTAAGTGAAAGGCACCAAACAGTTCTCAAAGATCAGAACTGAAGCTGCCTACATGAGGCTGGAGAAAAGACACACAGTCTGAGGGTACTTTAGCAGACACAGTAGACTTGGTAATGGAAGGGGTGGGGTTGGTCCCATCAGGGTCTCCTACACTCCCAACAGTGGACTCCTGGGACAGGCTGTCCAAGTTACAGGGTTGGCAACCAAGATAATCAGTGCTGGGGGTAGACCTTGTGGTCAGAGGTTGGATGGGTTTCTGCTAGCACTTTCGTTTGGAAAGCAGCAAGCTCAGTTTGGATCAAGCACACTTGCTCCAGTACAAAAGGGCTTCCCTGTTAGAAACTGAGGCAAGGGCTTTGCTGGAAAATTTAAATTTAGGAAATTATACATAAAGAAATGATGACAGAGGCCTGCTTAGGAACTAATTCACTTTGGGGACTAGAGAGTGAGGAAGCCAAGAAAACAAAAAGATTGAACCTCAGACAACTACAAATTGATAAAGCAGATGTGAAAAGATATTGGGGGGAGTACTGCAGCAACTGTCCCACTGGAAGCTCACAGGAAGCCAGTTTAGCAAATTAACACGCTCAACTTCTTGATCCAACATTCTTGCTTTGCCATATCCCTACATCTCTGTTATGGTCTTTATCCGGTCCTAACCTCCACCTTCCTCACTGAAAATCCCCCCTTTAATTCTGACTTCAAAATGTCTGTAAAGTGCCTGCCAATGGCCTTCTACCTGAGGAGATGCTGGTGAACTGCGGGTGCTACCCTGACATGGTAAGCAAGTAACTGACCTTTCTTTGTCTGTCGAGTGCCAATCCAGTGTTACAGGGAGCCCTCCCCGGGCAGTTATTTAAGTGACAAATGGCAGAAGATAACTGGACTGTCTCTTGTTGGCTAGGGGCCAAGCATTCATGTGTCAGCATCAGCTTTCCAGAGACAGGATTTTAAGAACAGGAATGCTGGAGAGTTTAGTTCTGAGTTGGGATGTCTAGTCTTTTGACATTATGGTGCAACACAGTCATCTACATATGTGTTGGGCCGAACTTAAATCTTCCCTGGGAGAGATGTGGCCCATGAGCCATGAGCCATAGGTCGAACACATCTGGTAGAAGTTCCTCATTAAATACATGCTGTACAAACGAGGCAAATGGGTTCAACCAGTATAGAAAATATACTACAAAGAAATAAACAGATAAATGGCTAAAGTAGAGCCCACCGTGCTTCTCCTCTGGGTATGAGCTTCGATCCTCTGGAGGAGAGGCTAAGGCAGGGAAAGCCCTTCACCCACTGGTGTGGTGCTTAGGACTGTGAACTAGGAAATATGGTGGAGATGTCAGAGATGCTCCTACTCCTAAGCCTGAGAACCCTGCTCAAGCAAGTGCTCATCAATAGTCGAGCATCTCTCTCCTTCTGCCTTCTCCATCTCCTCTTCTTCCTCCTTTCCCTCCTCTTCCACGTTCCTCCCCTGCTCTCTCTCTTTCACTTCTTACTTTTGCTCACCACAGTCTGGCCAGAGCGCTGCCACAAAGCCTATCATTACCCCAGCAGTGGCAGCCCCGTGGGAAGCATCTTGGCTTGATTTTGATTCCTGAGAATAATTTAATTCGTTTTTTCATCTTTGCTATTTCCTTCTATCTTTCTTTGCTTCTGCCCTCCTCTTTCCTCCTTCTCCCTTCCTCCTTTCCTTTCTTCTTCCTTTTCATCTCATCCCCCCCCCCTTCCCCCCGTCTCTGTCTCTCTCTCTCTCCTGGACATTTTTTATTCAGTTAGCAAGGCTGCATTTCCTCTCACTCCATTTCTTGGTTTTCCCGCCTCCTTATTTGTTATTGCTCTAGAAACCTGTGAGTTGTTTCTACCAAAGCCGTCTCCCTGCCTCACAGTGCTGACCACACAGCTGGAGTTGCACAAATGCTCCCTGAAGCAGAACAGGCTGGTGCTTGTCTGGGTTAACACATGTGCCCACTGACCACTGACCCATGTGACCCTCTGACCCAGGTGGACAGATACCGTAACTACAGCTAACAAAAGAATGAAGGTGCTGCACGTGGTTCCAAGAGCCAAGCCTGAGTTAAACCGATTCTCTGTAGCAGGTACTGTTATCAGCCTCATTTTCAGGAAAGGTACTCAAGTCCAAATAATTTATCACAAATCAACTGACTAAAACGTAGAGCTAGGATTTGAACCCAGGACATTTGTCTATAGTCTCAATCACTGCACTACACTAAGGACGATTATAATTTAACTCAAATTATACAAGTAAAAATAAACACAAAAATGCATGGTTAAATTAAGAACATTTTATTTAGAATAGATCTGTTCACACAACTCTTTGCAAATAAGTAGCTGTTTTCCAGGCACACACCCCTCCCCCCTGAGGGCGGAGTCTTTTTTCCCAGCTTCCTTTACAGCAAGGAATAAAGTTACCACATCTAGCTCTAGCCAACACTTAAGGAAACACTGATTCTGGAAAATTCTAAATTAACAAATATTTTAAATGTCTATGAAAAATATTGCAAGCCTCTTAGTTGCACAAATGAATTTATAGTTTTTCCTCACCTATAATTAAACTTGACTTTCAGGGTAATATACAAAGAGATAATTTGGTTTATTCTCCTAGTTGGGCAAAATTTAAATGAAATAGAACTGCAAATATTAGCAACAGTGGCAGAAAGGATTAATTGGGCATTGATGTTGTTGCATCCATTAGGAAGAGACTATCCAATCTGGAGAATCCTGGGCTTCCATCTCCCTTGGGATGAAGGATGTTTCCTCTACCCCATTCTTCTTCCACCTGGGAAAGCAGGGAAATCTTGGCAAGTGATTGCAAAATCCCATTTTGTTCTTCTTGAAGTCAGATGTGTCCTCTTTGCTCTTGAAGTCACTGCTCTGTGCCTGTAATTCTTAGCTACCCTTCCTTCACAGGATGCCTAGTGTCATGCAAAGAAGTTGCCAAGAATTCAAAATCATCGCAGGCCTTAATGGATTATATCTGTGTGAGAAGCTGCTAAAATTGTACCAAACCACCCAATGTCATATAGTTGAAGACCTCAAGTATTTCATAGTTGTAACAAGAAATAGAATGGCAAAGAAACTATGGCCCATACTTCTTGTTGGTGCTTTGTTTTTAAAAATATCTTTAAAAGTCATTCCTGGAGATTGTGAGTTCAGAGTCCTAGAGATTTGGCAGAGGATTCAGGATAGAAGTGCTACCCATGGAGGAGGATTTGTGTGGGCAGAGGCACTGAAGACCAGAGTAAGATAACAGAGAGATATCTTCCACATCCTTTCCTCTGTTTTTCTCCGTGTTGTGTTCTGCTGTGGCAATCTGGGGGAATGGAGAGAGGAGTGTCTAGTGTGAGTCAAAGCTGTGAATCCTCGAGAGCAAGAGCCAAGTCTACTGTGAGCACTACCTCTTACATCCCTGCCTAGAACATTGATGCAAACATGCAGCACTCCCATAAGGAAAAAGGAAGGGAAGCTTATGGAAAATTATTATCTTTGGGGTTTTCCTTAATACACCCACTATGTAAAACAATCTGGGAATGATACAACCAAGTCATACATGTGCCTGCATCCAGCAGCATCATGTTCACTGGAAATAAAGTCACCAGCATGAAAAAACTTGTAGAAAGAAATTCCAATTGAAGCATCACTGTGTATTGAGCCCAAAATCAGAAGAATCTGAATCTCTATCAACCACAGAATGATTAAGTTAGGTGACACCATAGTGTAAAGAACTCTGTAGCTCTCTGAAAGGCTATATCAGTATAAAAGAACACAGAATATTCTTTAAGTGCTGGGAGGCAGGTTTCAGAGAAACATGCAAAGTGTAAGATTCTGTTTTTAAACTGTTAAGAACAGATACTACACTTGGTCTTAGTCCAAAGGCCAAGAAGTGAGGGATACTGTCTCAGCCTAGATTCATGGTGGAGGGCCTAGGCCCTGCTCCAAATGATGTGACAGACTTTGATGATTCCCTATGGAAGGCCTCACCCTGCCTGCGGAGTAAATGGGGGGGGATGGGAGAGTCGGTGGGGGGCATGGGAGGTTGAGAGGAAGAGGGAACTGGAATTGATATGTAAAATAAGATTGTTTCTAATTTAAATAAAAAGATATATATACATATATATATATATATGATTCTGTTTTTAATAGTGGAAAGGGATGAGGAGGAGAAGGACTCTAGAGCTAAGCTATTTCTTAGCTATCATTGGCTTAATTTACTAATTTCTGTGTTGTTCATAATGACCTCTACCTCCTACTTAAGCTTGATGTTACAAACAAAGTTATTCAAGGGGATGGAGAGAAGGCCCAGCAGTTAAAAGCACACTTGTTGCTCTTGAAGAGGACTTGGTTCAATCCCCAGCCCCGACTTGGTGGCTCACAACAACTTGTAATTCCAGTGTCTTGGAATCTAATGCCCCCTTCTGGCCCCCCTTTGTAACCATGCAAGAACAGGCACACATGTACATGTGTGTGAGTGCCGGCGGAGACCAGAAGATGGTGTTCAGTCCCCTGGAGTTCATATTACAAGAGGTGGTGAGCTACCTAACATGGGTTCTAGAAACCAAACTCTGGTCCTCTGACAGAGATGGCAGGGCTCTTAACTGTTGAGCCATATCTCAGTCCCTGTAAACATTTCTTTACAAAAATTTAGCAGTACTATTTGGTGATAACACAGATAAAAGTGCAAAGTTTTTTTCATCGAATAAGCTTTGTGTTTTCACAGGACTAGAGTACAAAGAGGAGTGTCTTAGTTAGGGTTTCTGTTGCTGTGATAAAACACAACTTGGGGGTGAGGGAGTTTATTTCAGCTCATAGTCCCACACCACCGTCCATTCCTGAGGGAAGTCAGGGCAGGACCCTGGAGGAAGGAGCTGATGCAGAGGCATGAAGGAGAGATGCTCACTGCCTTGCTTTCCAAGGCTTGCTCAGCCTGTTTTCATTTTCTTTCCCCCCCCTTTGGCTTTTTGAGAAAGATTTTCTCTGAGTGGATCTGGCTGTCCTGGAATTTGATCTGTAAACCAGACTGGCCTCAAACTCAGCTATCTGCCTGCCTTGGTCTCCAGAGCTGAGCAGCCTGCTTCCTTATGAACCTCACTGCCATGTGCCAGGGACAGCCCCACCCACAATGACTGGTCACTCTCACATTAATCACTAATCAGGAAAATGCACCAAAGACTTGTCTACAGGCCAATATTGTGGGGACGTTTTCTCAACTGAGTACTTCCCAAATGACTCTAGTAGACTTAAAATTACCAGCACAGGAAATGAGTATGTATACACATTGCTCTGCTTACCATTTATAAGTATGTACTAATATAGCCATTTAAAAATCAATTCAGGGTCTAGAGAAATGCCTCAGTAGTTAAGAGACCCTGTACAGCTCTTGCAGAAAATGTGGGCTCAATTCCAAGCACCCACGTGGAAACTCACATTAAACTCCAGTTCCATGGGATCTAGTGCCCTCTTCTGGCCTTCAGGAGCTCCAGGCATACACGCGGCACACATACACACAAGCTCGCAAAACACTGATACCCATTAGCAAAAAATAAACTGGATTGAAAAATCAAGTCCAATAAAGTATACTTTTTATACTTTAATTCATATGCAAATTTGGGGGAGGAGCTGGAGGGATGGCTCAGCTGTTGAAAGCACTTGTTACTCTTGAAGAGGACCCAAGTTCAATTCCCAGAACCTATATGACCACTCACAAACATCTATAAGTCTGGTTCTAGATGATCTGGCACCCTCTTTTTGTTTCCAAGGACATCGTGTACACATGTTGTACACAGACATACATGAAAGCAAAATACTCACATACATAAAATAAATAAATACAGTTTAAAGGCAGAGCTAACTGCCATTCATCACGCTTTCAGTTAGCTTGTGAGCCTGGGAGGAGCCAATGCTTTTAAACCAAAGCCACTTCTAAGTACCTGTTACTGTAGGTGCTTAAGAAATGTCTACTCTTCTCCCAAGTGCTGCAGCGGCTAAGAGGTTGGGTCAGTCTCTCACCTGCGGCAGGTGGTGAGGGGTTTCTGGGCAGCACAGTAGAGCTCACCCTGTTGGCAGAGACACAGGTGAGCTTGCCTTGAGGGTATGAGAATGGAATAGCTGGCCCTACACCCTCATCTGCCATGTGATGGGGAGGGCAGAGAAAGATGCCTCTTCCCCTTGCCCCTGCTACCTGTGGTGAGTGAGGAAGCTGACCCTCCCCTTATCAGCTGCAGCACTCAGGAAAGTGGGTCCTCACCTTGCCTGGGCAGCGCAACAGAGCTGACCCTATTGATAGGGGTATGGGTGAATGGGCCCTGAGAAGATGAGCATGGGAGATTTGGCCTCACCCCTCATCTTCCATATGGTCTTGTGGGGGGTGTAGATGACTCCCCCCCTTTGTCCCTCTGCCTTTGGCAGGTGGGCAAGATGCCCCTGGAGTCATTGGTCTGGTTGGAGACCTCTGGTTTCTACTACACTATTGATGCTAGGCCTTCACTCCTCTTGGTCTGCAGATCACAGATGTTGTTGGGGTGGGTCAACACATAACCCTGATTCTGGGCCTGAGTAATCGAAGGTTGGTCAGCCTGCCAGCTCTCCCCTATCCTCACCACCAGGGTGAGCTCTCCAGCACTGCCCCGGCTAGTTCACCCCTAGCAGCAATGAGCCTGGGGGGGGGGGGGTGGAGGCACAGTTCTCCAGCTTTCCCATCCTCAATTTCTCCTGCTTTCACGCCCTCAGGGCCAGCTCACCCATACCTGGATCAATAGGGCCAGCTCTACTGTGTTGTCCAGGTGAGGTGCAGGGACCACTCTCCCTAGTGACGCTGCTGGTGAGGGGTAGGGACAGCAAACTCTAAAAGCAAAACCACCATTGAGGTGGACGATCACAGGAGGCATTAAGGTAAACTGAACAGGGTGGGGAGGGTCAGGACACAGAGACAAGGGAAAGGTGGGAAACAGATGCTACTAGATACAGGGATGCATTACTGGCCAAGGTTGCTATTCATCATTACAGATGAGCGACATTACCCTAAAAATAACACAGAACAACGTGTCAGCGCATTAGAAAAAAAATGCCGACTTTCTCTTTTAATATCATGTAGTAAAATAAACGTCAAATGAATCCGAAAGTTAAAACTGGGTGTGGAGGAGGACACTTTTAACCCAAGCACATGGGAAGTTGAAGCAAAGGAGTTTCTGCTAGTTTGAGTCCAGCCTGAGGGGCAGAGTGAGTTCAGACTAATCCGTATTACAGAGTGAGAATCTGTCTCAAAATGCATTATAATAATAATAAGTAAAAATGAAGAACTATTTTTATATTCATGTTAACAAGGGGCTTTTAAAAGGTGCCACTATGCACAGAGATAGGAAGGACCCCAGAAGTATGGAAGTTTTCTGTACATCTTTCTTATATGAACTTGCACAAATTAGGAGACAAATGATGAATCTGTGTAGATTCATCATAATGTGGGGATTGATTATATAAACACATAATTTAAAACTAATAAAAAAAAGACCAATACCTAATTTAAGAAAACAAATGCCAAAACAAAACATCACACAATTTTCAAAAGCAGCCAGAGAACATATAAAGAACTTCCAAGTTTTCTTAAAAATAAAGAAGTACTGGGCAATGGTGGTGCACACCTTTAATCCCAGCACTCGGGAAGCAGAGGCAGGTTGGTCTCTGTGAGTTCAAGGCCAGCCTGATCTACAAGTGGGTTCTAGGACAGCTGGGATAGTTACGCGGAGAAACTTGTTTCAAAACAAAACTAAAACAAAAAACATTGAAACCAACGATTTTTAAACTAGAAAGTATTTTAAATTAGAATGATTAATACTGCTCTACTTATCAAATGGCTCACAGTTTTTAAAGACTGTATTCTTTTATTTTTCTTTTCTTTTTTTCTTTCTTTAAATTCTTAAGGGTAACTGGCAGCCACTGCCACCTAATGGTGGTGAATGGGAGTGATCTGCCCTTGTTCCGAATCTTGGTTGGTTTGCTGCTTATCCCTGAGAACTGGTAAATCAAGTTTGGAAGTACAGGAACAGCTGAGTGTCTCTGTGTGTGTGTGTGTGTGTGTGTGTGTCTCTGTCTCTCTCTCTGTCTCTCTCTCTGTTTCTCTCTCTCTGTGTGTGTGTGTGTGTGTGTGTATGTGTGTGTTTTGTGTGTGTCTGTGTGTGTGTGTGTGTATATGTGTCTGTCCGTCTGTCTGTCAATCTGTCTGTGTGTCTATAGTCTGTGTGTCTCTATGGGGTCACATTCACATTCTTAATACATCTATGTCTGTTGCAAGAAGCCTGGGGAGAGCATTCATTTTCTATCAACAAAAAAAAATGTTCAGTACATAAATTCAATTTGAAGCATTCATTAAATTAGTGATGGACTAAAAATATTAAGGAAAATACATCTTCAGTTTGATGGTCTAAAAAGTGACAGAAGGGGATGGCCAAGGCCTGTCTGCATCATGAGGTCACTTTTAAAGTCTGAGATTATAGATGACAAAGGCCAAAAGGACTCATCTTAGAAAATAGAATTAGATGTTTGCATTTTTTCTTTTCCTTTGTGCATGTGTATAGTTTATGTTTTTCATATTTTTCTACAATAAATACATACTACTTTTTCATTAGAAAGGGGAGTGTTTTTAAGCACGACAGGGATTGCAGAGGTGACAAAGAATCTGAAAAATCACTGAGTTCTTTTAGTTGTATAAGTGGTCATTGCGACAAAATCAAGTTTCCCAGTGCTGGCAGCCCGCGGTCACACTGGAGCAGGCAAGAGCCTTCCTCTAAATCAGTCCTTTTGCTTTCACTTTGGAAGCCTGTGTTCCTTGTGTAGCTGCCTCTGTGGGACGCGTCCTCCCTGCTCCTGTTTGCCTTTAATTCCCATTTCAAAACCCA